TTTTCTTCTTCTCGGTGGTCATGAACTTGGTCTTTTTGATGTTTAGGAAGAGCCAAACTTCTCACTTTCCTCTTTGATTTTCTTGATCAGTATTCCAGGCCTTCTTTAGTTTCCAAGAGGAGGGTTGTCTCATCAGCATATCGAAGATTGTTGATATTCCTTCCTCCAATCTTTACCCTGATTTTTTACTCTTCCAGCTCTAATTTCCTCATGGTTGTTTCGGCATACAGGTTGAATAGGAAAGGTGAATGCAACCTTGTCATACTCCTTTCTCTATATTCAGTCTGGGGCAAGTGATGCACTATATTCTTGGTGCTTGGTGGGGGGCAACCGTGGGAGGGCTTCTAGTGTCCTGACCCCACTGCTGGACTTCTTGATGGCACCTGGTATTTTTGGCCACTGTGTGACAGAGTGTTGGACTGGATGGGCCATTGGCCTGATCCAGCATTGGCTTCTCTTATGTTCTTATGTTCAATCAGTATCTTCATATGGTGTTTGCACAGTGGCTTCCTGGTTTGTGTACAATGATTGTATCAACTTGACCACATGTGCTGGCACCCCCAGGTCTTATAGGGCTCTCCACAGTTTGTCATGATCAACACAGTCAAAGGCTTTCTTGTAATCGACGAAACATAAGTAGATAATCTTTTGATACTCATGAGATTTCTCTATGAGAGCCAGTTTGGTGTAGTGGTTAAGTGCGCGGACACTAATCTGGGAGAACTGGGTTTGATTCCCCACTCCTCCACTTGCACCTGGCTGGATGACCTTGGGCAAACCATAATTCTGGCACAACTGTTCTTGAAAAAAGAGCAGTTTCTGTTAGAGTTCTCTCAGCCCCACCTACCTCGCAGGGTGTCTGTTGTGGGGAGGGGAAGGAGTTTGTAAGCCGCTCTGAGACACCTTTGGGTAGTGAAGGGGGGGGGTATAAATCCAATCTCTTCTTCTCCTCCTTCTTCCATGATCCAGTGCAGATTTGCTATATGGTTGCGAGAACCACGCCCCCTTCGGAAGCTGGCTTGGACATCTGGTAATTCCCTTTCAGTGGTTGGTGCCAGCTGTTGTTTATAATTTTAAGGAGAATTTTGCTAATATGAGGATTGAGGGCGATTGTGTGATAATTGGAGAAGGTAGGGACAGGCAAACTGTGGGATTGACCTGATCACCTGGAGATAGACCAGTTGATTGCTTATGACATTCTGCCCTTGTTCTGGTTACAACCATTGGCTATAACTTGTAGACCCATTATATGGCATTCCTAGATGTAGTGAATTATGATGTCAGTATTTATTATGGTGTAAAAGGTAAAGGTTCCCTTGCTCGAAAGCCAGTCGAATCCGACTCTAGGGTTGTGGTGCTCATCTCCGTTTCAAAGCCGAAGAGCCAGCGCTGTCTGAAGACGTTTCCGTGATCATGTGGCCGGCATGACTAAACACCAAGGTGCACGGAACGCTGTTACCTTCCCACCGAAGTGGTACCTATTTATCTACTTTAGTAAAAGATAAAATAGGTTAAAAGAACCGATCCAACTATCAGACTGTTCGTTTTGCATATACAAATGATGGGTATATCTTATGACTAGTAGACCAAATGCATTTCAGCCCCTTCGGACCTTCCTCAGTGGTCAATATTACTATTGTAAAACAGCACACATCCAGAAATAAATATATGTAAAAAGATTTTCTTTAGAGCCAGGTGTTGCTTTCTCATGTGATGTGTAATTGCTAAAGGTTTACACAGTAGGCCATGGATAATCCCTCATCGTAAGTGCACATGCTCTCCAAATTGTTCTGGTAACAAATATCCAATGTGTCTGGATGTGTGTTTCTTTCATCAAAGGTAGTAATCAAGTTGGTCATAAGATATACCTATCAGTTGTATATGCAAAACTAACAGCTCTGTATGTAAGAAGTTTTAAGAGTCTGATAGCCGGATCAGTTCTTTTAACCTATTTTATCTTTTACTAATGTGTATGCCATAATAAGCATTTGTATTTTTATAATTTATTTTGTTAGCTTGACCCTCATATATCACAGACATATCTTGGGTTGAGCCCCCCCCCCTTTCTTGGTTTTTGTGAATTATGATGTCAACATTTGTCTGTAACGAGCACTATGGTATTCCAGTGAATGGATACTGTGTATTCTTCCTGTTTCTACCCTAAACATCCTGCTTCAGCCCAGTTGCCTGCCAGCACAGTGTATCTAAATTCTCCACAACTGGGTGGAAGGTTGCTCCTTCATCCTCACAGCAATCATGGCCTCAACTGTGGAGGTGGGGATGCCAAATTCAAGAAGTCAGTCCTTCCAGTGCGCTCCCAAACCTCACTAAGGAACTTTTGTTCATTGCAACAGTCTTGTGAGGTAGATGAGGCTGGGAGAGAGCCTCCCAGGGAGCTCCATGGCTGAGTGGGGATTTGAACCTGGGCAAACTGTGGCAAAATCCACCACCACCACCACCACAGTGACCCTCAGCAAAATTTCCTCCTTTGTTCTGGAGCATCTGTGTCTGTTCAGATCCTGGGCTCCTATCAGGAATGTGTTTATCCTGTTGGTAAGAAGTAGCAGCCATCTCCTGGAGGTAAGGTGGGCATAGCTTAGATGTGTGGACAGCCTTACGGTGGCCCTGATGCCTTCAGCCTTGTCTTTTGCTGTCTTATTTTTCATAGTAGGGAGTGGCTGCTTCATATCCTATGACTTTTAACAGTTTTAAAAATAAACAAAATGTTGCTTTTGCAGTACTAATTTGTGAGGCGCGCTGTTAGTTACTCAGGGTTTTTTTGAAGGCTTGCAGATAATTTTTCTCTGACAGCATGAGCAAAATGGTTGTTTTCCCTCCCCATTTAAAAATAATCATATTTTTTTTCAGGCTGGTCAGTTTAAGGTTGTCATTTTCCACCAAATTTAAATATCAAGATCTGCCTTGTTCATTAAGCTTACAAGAAGGGTGAACTGTGTTGACCTCTGCAGATGTGCACCTCAGAACCAAATCTGCCAGTAAAGAAAATTAAATGGGAACTTTTAATAAAATTCCTCTTTAATTTGACAGCCTGAGACATCCATTGGTGTTTTCATTCATTTGTACAGTGTTTGCCATCCTTGCCTGAATACTGGCTACCGCTCATCTCTCTTGATAGTGTAGAGCATGACAGTCATATTAAACTTTAAGGAAGACATTCGTAAACAAAATGAACAAAGTTTTGGAGTGGAAGATCTAGATATGCCTATGCCTGCATTTATTTTGAAGAAGCAAAGAGCCTCATTGGTCTGAAAATCCTTATAAACTGATAACTGATACTCATTTTTTCTGTGTGCCCATTGTGGTCAGGAAGGTTCTCTCTCTTTCTCCCCCCCCCTTCTTGGTGGGCTTCTTTCTTGAGGGAGGATTAAAGACAGAATCATAGAACAGCTGCTGGGGTCCCCATAGGTGGATCCTGTCCTCTGTATTCAGTTTATTTATGGCACTTTTAGCATGCCTTTCTTCAAAGGACACAAGGGTGAGACCGTATACATTTTCTACTCAGGAGGAAGAATGTTTTTTAAAGAATGAACGTTGTGGAAGAGAATGGTTGAAGTAGGTGTGATGGAAACAAGCTAATATGTTTCGTGTGGTTACTTTGCATGGGCAATCCATGGAATGGCTAGTTGTGCTCTGCACCGTGATGAGCTACATTGCTTATTGGGTGTGCTTAGGGTTTTCCGATCTGTCAGTACTCATATTCCACTTTGAATATCAATAGAAAGATTAATGCCTTTCAAAGTTGGGCTCCATTTAAAAAAAAACCAAAATAATGAAAATATTGAAAATGAAAGAAAAGTGACAGGGCAAAGTAGTATATTGCGGTCTTAGAAGAGGATGTCATGCATCTCTTCAAAATCGTGAGGCTTTTACTGGCCTCTGCCATTTACAGTTTTGGGGGTTGCTACTCTGCTAATTAGTAGTAACCTAGACAGCATGAGAGAATCGTTATTGAATAGCTTTGCTTGACTTGACTTAACCTGATGTACCTTTTGTGTGAGAAATGGGGAATATATGACACTCGATAAAGTGTGTGAGATATCAAGAATTGAGGTACTTGTTCCTGAATAATCCATAGAGAAGTTGTTAATAGTAATTTCTGTTCATGTGAATGCATCTTAATTTGCTGTACATAACTCTGCAAAATGTACCCACTAGAGATAAGATTATTATTTTCAGTAATACAAAATGTGATCTGAAGTGTTTTGGTGATGCAAACTATAATTATATATTTAGCTGGGTTTTTTGACTTGCGTCATGTTAACTTGTAACTGTGATTACATTATGATTCAAATGGAAGTAAAAATGCGACAACTGATTGGGACTCTGAGCAAGCATGGCAGTGGTGAAATTCTTTCCATGACTTCGTAGGATGATACAGATGATCTACCAAGTGGTTACTTGAATACACAGAGATATTGCCTCATGGTAAATTTTCATTTGTGTTCACCCATAGTTGGAGAGGTAAATTTATGTGGGAAACATCTGCCAGTGATTTGATACACAAAACTTAAAGCTATCTCTGTTGTTGGAGGATTTGCCTCTGCTTTCTAGTTCCTGGTAGGGATTTTTGCTCCTTTCCCTCTTTTAGCTGGAATCCAGGGCTCCTGTAAGAGCCATTCCTGAGTGTCATGGGACCCTTACAAATTAGATGTTATGCAGCATTGAATGCTGTAGCTGGAGGGGAAGATCTGAAATTACCTCTCCTCCCAGTACCATGTCCTGTGCCGTATCCAAACCTTTCCCAAGGATTCCTTAACCCTCAGGCTTGATGGATGTTGGGAGTAAGGCCAATGGGGTATCCAGTGGGGAGGGATCACACTCAAAAGAGCAATATAATTGCTAATTTGCTTGCAGAGTTTCCTCAGCCGTCTGACTAGTGACCACTAGAGAAAGAATGCTAGGTTAGATTTGTTCTAAACTGACATTTCTTATATCTGACTCAGCAATTCTTACATTTTTGTGTGTCTTATTTTTGACAGGAAAGCATGATACGCTATTGCAAGCAGTGTTCATGTCTCCTCTTAATGAGTTGTTCTCCGATTTCTCCAAGTTTCAACAGATGATCGAAACAACTTTAGACATGGATAAGGTAACCTTTAAAAACATGATGACTGCCTGAAATGGCCTGTTTCTGTCAAGTATCTAGTGTGTAAGTCTCTATCATGTGCAACTAATTTGTATCTAAAATTTTCAACAGCATGCTAAGAACTTACTGTTCAAGACTGCATAGTCACAAATACTGAAAATCACCAAAAGCAGTACAGAATAAAATCAAGCTATTTAGACAATTTCAAAACAGGCAACCATGGAAAACTCAAAATAAGAGCCAGTATGCTGCAGTATTTTGAGTGGTATTTGGCTGTAGAAACTTGAGTTCAAATCCTTGTTCAGCCATGAGACAGAGTCACTGACTCACTCGGGCCAATGTGTACAACGTGTGCTTTGTGGAGGAAGGGTGGAATAAAAATGCAATAGGTCGAATAAGACATAAAATGTATTCATTTATCTAGTGCCTTAGGCTAGATGAAATACTAATGGCTTGTATCCATCTGTGGGAAGCAGTTGAAACTTCCTGGACATGGTGAGTGGGTTTCAGAATGTTTTCGTGCAAGCCTCTGGGATGCAACAGAGAAATTTCCTGGTGTGTGTGTGTGTGTGTGTGTCAGAATACCACCGTTTGGCCCAGAGCAGAAACCTGAGGTTCTGACTGCTCCACAGTTGCATGTCCTTAATGGTGTCAGGTGTCATCACAGGAATTCCACTTAGCGCAAGTCAAAGTTCATTTATGGCCCGTGTGCATCTCTGCTCTGTCCTTTGGCATACATTGTGTCAAAGAACAATATAAAGTGTCTAAATATAAGTTCAGTAAAAAGCACTTTGAACATTCATGGGAAACCTGAACCTCCTTTAATGAAACCTAGGACAAGATTCTCTTACTTGTCTTGCGTTTTGTCATGCCTTTTCTCCATTCCTCTTTAGTGAATGGTTGCTGGAGGTAGTTGCAGAGAACCATTATTTTGTTCTCTGTTGAGTGGCCTGGGAATGTTTTCCCACATCAAGGTACAAATCCCAGGCTCATTGTAGGGAAGATAATCTGTTGTTGCCTCTACTTTGGAGACTGCATGTTTATAAAGCACAGACCCCTGAACTGAACAGTAGGCGAGGAAACTGGATCGAAGACACCTGTTCCTTCCAGCAGCAGTTCCCAGACTGTGAGAATGTCCCTCATACCCCACAATCCCAGGCTTCCCCTTTCACTTCAAGGGACAAGCTGTGGGGTGTGCTTTCTTTTTGGTAGAAATAAGAAAGTGGTTATGGGTGGTGAAGCTGCGTGTGTGTGCGCATACACGTGTGTGTGAAGGAGGGTAGTGGTATGTAAGTGGATGGAATGTGGCAAAACTGCGTCAATGGTAAAAAAAACCCTGTACCCTGTACATGTTGAAGTTGATGACAAAATTTCCCAACTTAAGTGTACACATATGGTTGTAAGTATTAATATTTATATCTTCGCTTGCATGCATAATTTCCATACTTTCTTTTTAAGAGGAAAAGTAAACACCTTGAAATGAGAATCACCAGACTTTAATGTATGATGCTCATGAAGAGATTAATAAATTTCTTCCAACTGTGGCCCATCTGTTCTTTGTTGTAGGACATGACTGTTACTGTATCTGCTAGCTGGCCCTTCCCATTTTCTCCCCCCCCCCCCAAACCTTCCAGTCACTTTCCCCCTTCATGTAATTTTGTGTGTGTGTGTGTGTGTGTGTGTGTTTTAAGTGGGCATCCTTCGCAAAGCCTTGTAAAACATGCTGTGCCAGATTTTGTTAGCATTTGCAAATCCATAAAAGTTAATTAAAGCTGATGTTGTAGAGGCAGCTGTGGGTCGTGGAACACACTGTCAACTTTCCACAGTGGAAGAAATCAGAATCTTGCACATGGAGGTTTTTACGGCCTCCTGTTTAATAGAGTTAAACCTGCGAGAACCATTCTCTTTTTACTGAGAGTGTGGTAAATTACATGTTGTCATAGCAACCAAATATATTGGTTGCCTGTGTTGAGTAAACTTCCTGCTTCCTGAGGCTCATAGATACAGATATGTTGCATTCTGTAATGCCTTTGTTTACTATTTACAAGGTGGGAGAATCATGAGGAATTGGGGGCGGGGGGGGGAGATAAACGGTTGGGAAATTTCCCTGCCAGACCAAAACCACTTTCCAGGAGATTGTCGTGTCTTCAGTGCTGAAGGAAGCTGATTTCCTTATCTCTGTTCTTGTGTCTTCCTCCCCTCTAAACTGACTCAGCATGCTGAGTCCTCATGAGGCTGGTCTTTGAGATCTTCTGTTTTTGATGTTCAGAGTAATAGTTTGTTGCATACCAGGGAGTTTACCAAGTGTGCAAAAATCCCAACCTTGTCTGTGGATGCCCCCCACTGAACTTCCCCTAATGTTAAGCGCTTGAGTGTGAACTTTGGCATTAAAGGGCGTGATGATTGGAAGGCCGTGGGAAGCCTCAGAGTAACTAGACTGTGCTAGCTTATCCCTTCCTTCCTTGGTGAATTTACTGTGCTCGAAGAGAGATGATTTTGTGTGGTTGTGTGTACACCTATTTGATTTCCCCATGCCCATACATTTGCAGCCTTTTGCTACTCAATTAATACGCTTTTACTTATTGTGTCTATTTACTGTTTATATACTTAAAGGTAAAAAATATATATATTTAAAGTTGGAGTTAGGGATGGGCATGAACCATGCGATGAGCCAAAATCTGGCCCGAATTTTGGGTGGAGCAGGACTTGGGGCTCAATGCTTGACACACATGTGGTCTTGGAATAAATCTCCAAGCTTTTGGGCATGGCTTGAGGCAGCTCAGGAAAACAAAACCAACCCAGAAAATCTGGCGTGGAGCTGCTAGACAACACTGGAGGTGGTGTTTTCAATACAATAGGGACCCTCCAAAGCTTGACAGGCACTGCTGCCTGCTGATAACAGAGCTCCCATTTGTTGACTCAGAGGAAGGAGTGTCGGCCACTACTGGGAGGCAGACCCACTCAGCAGGGGGAAGAAGGGGGGAAACAGGAAACCCCTCAAAGAAAGGCTCCAGGCGCTGTGGTTGGGATTGTGACTACAAGGCAAGCCACCCTCCCTGAGGTCATGCTCAAGGAGATGCAGCCAGTGCCAGGGAAAAGGGCAAGGGCTTGAGAAAAAAGTCACTCACCTTGCTGCAATTTTACTGATGGCTGCCCTTCTGAAATTAAGTTACTTACAGGTGGTTCTTACATATTTAAAATAAAATGGAGAAGGCATGTCTCATTCTTAAATGCTGTGGCTGTCAATTGATTACAAAAAATTAGTTACATTTAAACCGATCTCATTGGAATATGTTTGCATAATACGAACTTCATTATAGATGCTACGAGATCATATTAGCTAAGGCTGTTACTAATGCTACAAGTAAATGCTATCTTTACTATTGTTATTCCAGTCTTTATTACAATAGCACACCAGAGTGAAAGTGGTCTCAAATAAACATGCATGCAACTCGGTCTCAGTGATTAAAATTAGCCCCCATTGATAGATTAGTTGAAGCTTTCATTGATTTTAAATCTTGAAGCCTGAACTAATATATTTAGCTTATTTGAGTTCAGTGGAACTAATTTCCTCACTAAGCATATGGATGATCACACCCTAATGTGTCATAAATAATTCAATAAAGCCTAGCACTTTTTAGGGTGTTCTCAGCACTTTCACATACTTTCTCATTCTAATGAAACTGTAAGGTTGGCCGGTTTTATTACCCACATATTATAGATGGTGATGCTGAACCCTGGCAGTCTTGTCTAAAGTCACATGATGAGTCGGTGGCAGATGCGAGGCTGAAACTGGGGGCTTCATGGTCCTTTGCCCAGTCTCTCCTCTGCTAATATATGCTAGCACATGATTATTTTCCCTGAAAAGTATAAGATAATACTGTTCCATGCTGCTGTTACCGCCAGGCTTGATTACTCTACTCTCCGTGTGTGGGGGAGGCCCTCGAAGACAGTCCACAATCTTTAGTCAGTCCAGAATGCAGCAGCAAGAATGCTACAGGCAGCATGTTAATCCCTGTCTTGAAAGCTCTTCAGTGGCTGCCTGTTCACTTCTGGTTCCAGTTTAACAGGATGATGTTGACCTTCAGAGCCCTAGGTGCTATGAATGGGATACTTAAAAGACTGCCTTCCCCCATGTCGTTTTACCTGGAGACTGTGACCGTCACCTTTGGCCTTTCTTCATGACCCCTATCTTCTGAGATGGGACATGTGGCCACGAGGTATAAGGACTGTGTTTGATGTCTTTGTGTGTGTGGTTCTCTCCCCCCCCCCCCCAAATAGATAATTTTTTTAACATTTCAGCTTGCTTTTAATTGTATGGTTTTGTTCTCCCTTCCTGTCTTCTGCCTGGATTCTTTTTAGTTACTTTTAACTGTTTGCTATTTGTGCTTTGCTGTAGGTGTGTTATTGTTGTTGCTTATCTAGTTGGCCTGCTGGGTGGTAGTAGTTTACATTTTGATTATGGTTTTATATGTGGTTGTGTTGCTGATTCTGTTCGTGTGAACCATCTTGAGCATGTGTTTTGGAGAGAAGGTCTATGAACATGTAATATATAGTCAGCAGACCTTTGGGTGTAATGCCCTCCGAACAGAGTGTCACTCACTTCCACTTGTGAGCGGTGATATTTAGTCCCTAGACTAACAGTGTGTCCTGTGATTTTCAGGATGGGGGCAAGCAGAAGCAGGGAGAGGAAGGGAGCCATGACCACACAGGCTGTGTTTAGTTTAATGTGGCCATGTAAAGCAAAAAGCTTTGTGAGGATACATAGCAGCCACCCACCCACCCCTTCCCCAGCAATGCTCCCTCTAAGCTGTGGAGTCTTGTGAGCAAAAATTCTACTTTGTGAGCTACCGGCATTAAAGTTGTGAGTGTGCAATTTGCCTACTGCATAAATTAGTTTGCTCTGGAGCCATCTTTCCTGAGCTAAGACAAAAATCTGTGATCTGGAGGCTAAAAAACTGTGAGCCAGCTCACACTAACTTAGTTTAGAGGGAACACTGGTC